ACAGCCATTTCTGGACCTGTCCAGCAAAAGATTGAATTTAGATTGTCAGCATGGATGAGGCCAGCGAAAACACACAGAATCCTGAACCGCACCTCACATTGACACTCGAATCCTTGAAGCCATGAACTGTTGTCAGAACCTGTGGCCTGGAACTGTAAATCAAACTTTCTTTCATTCCTTGTACTGCCTTTGTAACGGCGAGAGGCGCAGGCGTGGGCACAAAGCTACTCAACCACTAGACGGATGCTAGGTTTGCATACCACCCTAGCAGCTGTACCCGCTCATGAGCTATGGCCTGGCTATAGCTTAGGCGTCCCCTTGGCTAGGATGGCTGTCGCAAGCCTCTTGGACTGTAACATGTTGACGTCAGGTGGCTGGTCTTTTCGATGCCTTCTTGGCTGCATGATTCCCTATTCCTACCCCAAAGCAGCACATCTGCTGGAAATGCTGAAGCTTTACGCTGCTACACGCATGAGATGTGTGAGGACTGTGTTGAAACATACTCCCGCTGGCTTCCTGACTTGAACCTCGACGTGTAGGGAGCTTGGTGGGTTGGAGGCGTGGCGTTTAGGGTGTAGGGTTTAAGATTTAATTTCTAGGGGTTAAGGTTTAGGGTTTAAGGTTTAGGGTTTCGGGCTTAAGGTTTAGAGGTTATCTGACAAAGAAAGTACTGGTCATGGTGCAAAGGTCGCTGGAATGTGTTTCGTAAAGGACTCTTGACCATGGAGCTCATTCTAGCCTAGTCTTCCCATCCCCTAAACCCTAAACCCTACATATCCCTATAGAACCCCTATATAACCTTATATAAATTCAGATATGGTTTTCGTTTACTGGAGACCTTAGGGTATCTTAGGGCTTAGGGTTTAGGACTCAGCGCTTAGGGTTCAGGACTCAGGGTTACTGTTTGGGGCATGACATTGTACCGCCGCATAAGATAGCCTACAGGATTGAGAGATGGAACGCTTAAGGTTCCACCTGAAACTGGAGAACGTCTGAGGGCCCTGTAGGAGACGTAAGGCGCCCAAATTAGGGAAGCCTGCGTTGGAAAAATAGTCCCAGACATCCCCAACCCAACCCCCAAACTCAATGTTTCCACATTCTTTGCCAGATGCCTCCGATCCACTGGCCCTCCTAAGACCCTATATGCGAGATGTATAGCTTCTGATTCTCGGAGTCACCCTTAGATCTTACATGCCATAGAATCTCCCACTGCTTCTGATGACCAGCGCTTCGAAACATGGATGTTGCCGCGAACACGAGAGATTGCGAACATGAGCTTTCCAAAGTCTTGGACCCACAACCCCACGGTTGCACCACAAACACCTCCATAAGCCTATTGCAGTACTCCTGAACTCCTGGTTTCCATTCCATTTTCTACTTTCGTTTCCTCCAGCCTAAACCCAAAATCCTACTCGTTTTTCAGTTGTCATCATTCATCACCTCACCCTCAACTCTAGGTTATATTGGGGTTATATGGGGATTATACTAATATATTGGGATTGTATTAGTATATTGGGATTACATCATTATATTGGGATTATATTGGGATAATGGAAAATAAATGGAAGCTAATCTAATTCTACATAACAATCCTGAGTTCCTGGTTTCCATTCCATGTATCACTTTCTTCTCCATTTAATTCTGCATTTGAATAGCCATCCTAAACCCCAAGCCCCCTAAACCCTGAATCTGTTTTTCAGTCGTCGTCTTCGGAGTCCAGGATGCGCTCGGAATCTCGTAGCCCAACCAACTCGTACTCCTGACCTGTGGGCTCTGAGGGGTCTTGGGATTTTCGGGGTTAGGGTCTACTTGGAGGTTCAGGGGGACTTAACAAGTAGGTTAACAACCCTGCAACCCCTATAACACATATAGCAACCCTAGGTATCCCCTCATTAACCTACTTGCTAAGTCCCCCTGCCATGGAAGGGTCTTGAGGCTTAGGGACGTCAGAGTTTACCTGGCTTAGGGAAGTTAGGAGTTTAGAGGTAAATGGTTCAAGGGCCTAAGAGTTTGGGGTTTACAGGTTTAGGGCTTAAGGGTTGAGGATTTAGGGCTTCCTAAGCCCTAAACCTTAAACCTAAAGCCTAAACCGTTGAACCTAAACTTGGCACTTAGGGCGCTGGGGGGGGGGGGGTTGAGGGGTAGGACTCAAGGCTTGGCACAGGGACTTCAGAATTAGGAGTTTAGGGTTTAGGGTTTAACCCTGCTTGAAGGTTCATGCGACTTAGTAGTGCTCGTAACTGGGGCAAGATCTCTGGCCTCGTGCCTGTGCCCTACACTCCACTCAAGAAAGTGTTGGGCACGCCAGTGGTACCTGATAGCATGGAGCTGCTTCTGCATGTCGTTGGCCAACAAGGACAGCGTCTTCTCTGCCTGCAAGCAGTGCCTGTTTGTGTTGCGCCACGACCAGGGTTGAACTTCCTGCCAACCTTGTTGACTCAGCCAACGACGAAGCAGTCCCAGCGCTGTAGCGGCCCGGTTCTGCCAACGAACCAGCAGCTGAGCCTCTGGCTCTTCCATACTCAGGCCGAGGCAGCGAAAGCGCATCCTGTAGAGGCGGGCAAACAAGTTGCAAGCCAGCTTGACGTCCAAGTGCAAAGGGGCCACCAAAAAGCACTCTGCGCATAAGTTACGGAATCCCATGAACCTTCAAGTAGGCAGCCTAGATACAAAAAATGCCCAAAACACTGAACCACTGCGTAACTATTGGCTAGTGCTATTGATCCCTTCTCTCCACAAAACCCTGTAACTGGCCCGCTTTACAAGCAGCCTGCCCCTTTCAAAAGATAATCCTTGAGGAATTTAGTCTCTGAGCATTTATCACTATGAGGTCTTCATGATCATTTCGAGGAGGGGATTGCCTTAAGGCTTGAGCCCCCAAAACCTAAACCCCAAACCCTGCAACCTAAACCCTAAACACTACCAAAACCCTTTGCGAGTTCTGCGGCTGGGGTGACGTCTTTCGACTTCCTTACATTTGGTTATCTAGGAATGAAGGAGGAATGGATCCTTATCGTAGTCCCTATATAACCCATTATGGGGTTTAGGGTTTAGGGTTCAGGGCTGGCCCAATTGATCAACTTGCAAAAAAAAGCTTCATTTCTATGCACTTGGTCGGCCAGAGCAGAATGCTGAGACTCAGCCACATGCAGCACCTCCTCAACGGCGGCGGGGAAGAAGCTCAAGGCTTTGAGTGGTTTGGTCTTCGCGGCTCTCAGCAGCGAGACGTTAAACTGCAGGTCCTGGCAAACTTCCTGAGGTTTACCTCACTGATCACACGCTGCAGCTGATCCTTCAATTAAGCTGATTATCTGCTACAGGGTTCAGGGGTTTAAGGGTTTAGGGCTTCAGGGCTTGGGGTTTAGGACGGTGGCAGTGGCAAAGATGGCGAGGGTGGTAAGACGAATGGCCGCTAGAGAAAGGATTAGTTAGGCAGAACATGGGCGCAAAAACAAACAGTCACAAAAACAAACCGTCACAGCAGCAATGACAATCCCAGAGGATCCAAGTACCCAATAATTAGGTACTTGGGTTGAGGGTAGTAGTAGTTATAGTACAGGGTTTGGGCAAGTATATGATTATGAGGTACTTCGACCCTTAGGGAATAGGAAATGGTAATAGTACCCAGTGCAGAACAGTTAAGCGCGGGCAAGCAGAGAGTAGTGACGAAAACATTGAAATCAGGAGAAGCTTGAAGGTGGTTAAACGGGAGCGGAGGCATGAACATGGGTACCAAGGATTTAGGGTTCAGGGGTTGGGGGCTTCAGGGCTTAAGGGTTGTAGAGGAGAGGCATATTATTTGGAGTATTGTATAGGGTTCCACCAGGCGCTTTCCACTGCGCTGCTATAGGAGGCATACAAAATAGTTCCAGGGGTTCGATCCTCTACTCTAAGCCCCCTAACCCCCAAATCCTGCGAATGTTGTCCAAAAGCGTTTCTCTAATCCTAAAAACTAATTTCTACACCTCCGCCCCCCTCCCGCAACACACACCTAAAAAATACCAAAATCGAAACCCTATAGAACTCCCTTTGTGACCCCAGTTTAAGGAGTTTAGACCCTAAACCCTATATAATCCCCTATATAACCCCCTTTAAGCTCAAGTGAGGGAAGAGGCCTTGGGGCTCCCCAGCCACTTCACCGAAGATCTGCCGAAGCGCTAAGTGGTCCTCTATCTCGGAGCCTAGAGGAGGTCAGAGGTTGGTAGAGTTTTGGGTTTAAGGTTTAGGTGTCACACCCGCTGAGTTAGGGCCGAAATAGCTTGCTGGTTGTCAGAAAGGAATGGAGGGATGACAAAAACGGCGGCGACCATATCCGATATCCTTTGTATGTTGAATAGAAACTACTCAATGGATCCATTCCCCTCTTCCCTGTTACCAACCAGCAAGTTACGGGGTTTGGGGTTTAGGGGCTTGATGTTTAGCCGGCTAGGTTTGGTTTAGGGTTTCCAGGAGTTTGGGTATGGCCTTGCGCACGCTCGGGAGCCAAACAGGGAATGCTCTCCATCACTCAGTCATGGGCAATGGCGGTTTTAGTGCACCGACTACATGAACTGGCTACACATCCGTCAAAGTTGAGATCCCCGTCTAAGCAGATCAATGACAAACAAACTCAGTCAACGAATAGGAACCCATGCCTGAAACAAGCCTGGTCCTTAACAGCTTAACAGCCCTGAGGCCTCAACAAGACATGAGCTATAGTCTAGAAACTCCTAGTATCCCCCTTAATTAATAGCCCTTATAATACTGCCCTGTATACTCCCTCACCAAGAACAACACCCCTCAAGGAGTCTAGACTACAGCTCACATGGGCCCCAGACCAAATCCTACTCAGCCCTAAGGCTGGCCCTAAACCCATAGTGAAACAACCTTACACTTTGAACAGGAAGTTTCACTCAACACAAAGAAGGCTTCTGTACCGCCAAACTCCCGCTGAGTTAGAACCCAGCATCGGGAATGACATAGAGCTACTGAAATCCAAACGAAACACATGCCAAAGTCGCTGAGCACAGCTTCCACATTGATTTGCGGCGCGCCCTGGAGGCACGACCTTCAACGGGTGCGCAGAAGCAGAAGGGTTTGGGGTTGTGATTTATGTTTATCACCACTTATGCCCAAGTATCCTCGTTGGGGCTCAGGGTGTAGGGATTGGGGCGTTGAAGGTTTAGGCAGCTATTCTGTGTCAAGGCCGACAAGAATACCAGCGCCATAACTTCGGGCTCAGGCTGCGTAATCTGAATTCCGCGTGACGAAGGGGTCAAGGCTGCACTCAAGAGTCGGACCCAAAAATGTGGATATCAACATACAGTGTTGCCCTTGTCGTCTATACATAGCCCATACGTTGGTACTGCAGTCCTTCAGGAGTCTCCCAGCGCCTCTGAGGTCCAACCTGCCCAAACTCTAAACCCTAAAGGGTTTAGGGTAGACCGACAAAATCCTGAAGGACTGCAAGGGTTCAGGTATGTGGATCATGCAGGGTTTTTGTACATTAAGCAGTATGATTACGGGGTAACTTCAACAGGTAGAGTCCCATCTGGACTCCCGACATACTCAGTGTCGAACTCGCAAGCAGCAAGCCCAGAAATTTCGGGGAGCAACTTTCAATCATGGCCCTATAAACCATAAATTCTGAACTTTCTAGGCTCTACTGTTGATGAATATAGGCTGCGCTATGCTGAGTCCCTACTTGAAGCATCATGTGCTGAGTAACTACTTATAACTGGAGGTTTGACCCTACTTGTAACTGGGCCAACCTACATAAAAATAGCTTGGGGGATTATGAAAATGGCAACAGCCCTAGATATAAGCCGTTGCTGCGTCCTATGAACCTCCCGGTAGCCCTAGCTCTGGCAAGAGACGTGCTATCCCGTTTAATGCGCCGGCGCAACCTCTCGCGGAGCACAGCGCAGTAGAGCAGCACCTAGCAAAGACACCAATCCGGTTTATCCAGAGGCTTTTACAAAAGAAATCAAGTGATCAACTAAACCCCAAACTCAATGGTTCTTTTTAAGGGAATAGCGTATTATAGAGGGATTATATAGGGATTGTATTTTTTTATGCCCTACTAAGAACCAGTATATGCCGGGGAACTGTTCAAAGCCCTTGCTCACAAGAGGTAACCCAGACATCTGACATCAGGACCCTACAAGAATCATCTGTCTGTGGTAGGCTCCTATTTCCCAAAATCCCAAACCCTAAGCCCAGGTTTTGGGCCCCAAAACCCCGTAGTCCTTGTATGCAATGTATGGCTTACGGGGTCCGAGGCTAGCTTGCTTATGTGTGAGGCTTAGGCTTCAAGGTTTAGCGATTAGGGTTTAGGGTTTGGGGTTTAGAGTTTGGTTTTTTAGCCACCACCTTGCCTACATCGCCCAATGGTTTTGGGTTTTGACCCTCCACCCTTATAAGCCCTGAGCCCTAGCCAGACGTCCTAACCCTAAGGCTTCAAGCACACGCATCACATCCACATATGGAGGCCTAAAGTCTCCACACATGCAGCCTGTTTAGGACCAAAGTGTATACCATATACAACTTGGATCCTTAGAGAAGGTTTTGTGAGTTTAGGTGCCGTCGTCGGAGTGCGACTTGGGGTTCCCTAACACAAAGCTTGAAGCCCTGACCCTTCCCAGTGAACCTGTTTCCACAAATTCTAGACCTAAAAGCCGCCTCCCAAATCCCTAATCCCCAACCCCTTCTCTGAACACCAGCCTGCCCTCCCTGAAGCCCTAATCCCCCAGCCCCTCATCCCTAACTCCCAATCCCTGACCCTTTATTCCTACCAAAAGAACCCCAAAAAGTAGGTAACACCATAGCCCCAAACTCCTAAATATAGCCCAAACAGGTCATGATTCTACATACTTTGGGAGTCCAGGTGGAGGGTCCGGAGCAGGCCTCCATAGGTGCCGTGATGACTCGGATGCAGGCCTCCAGAATCTCACCACAAGCTCATAGTAATAGCAGCGGTAATGACCACAATCGCAGTAAGTGAGATAGTGATATTAGTAGGAGTCATTGTAGCAGCCATAGTCATAGTAGCAGTAATAGTAACAGTATCAAGCATAGCAATGGTAAATAGCAAGAGCAATTGCAATAGTCATAGGTGTAGTGACGGGCATAGTAGGGGTAAAAATCATGGAAATCGTGATAGTAAGAGTAATAGGCATAGTCAGAATTAGAACATAATAGTAGTAGAAATAGTATATAACCCATTTCAGGAGGCACGGGCTTAGGGCTCGGAGTTTTTGGGGTGAAGGGCTGGATGCTTAGGTTTTCAATGGGAACCACCCTGAACCTCAAGGGCGTATGGGGATTCAACGTTTGCTGAGTCTGAAACTAGGGGTGCCAATAGGCATCTAAAGGACGTGGATTTAGGGTTTAGGGTTTAAGTTTTTCGGGTTCAGGGTTCAAGGTGTTGGGAGATTGTCAGGGACCCATAAGCATCCCAGACTCAAATATTAGTGGTTCAGGCGCCAAAAAAACCCTTCAGATTCTACGCGAAACCCCATCTCCTTCAAAGGAACTTCTACTTTCTGCAACCCCCACAAGAACTATAGTCTAAACTCCTGATGTCCGCCTTCTGGACCCCTATACTACTCCCCTATGT